CATGGCCAGGTATGACGTAAACTCCTGCAGCAAAGCTGCTTTTTGTTTTAAATATTTTTTTTGCAATCCGTTTCATCATTATTTCATAACTCCGCTCTCATTACTCAGCACCGTAACCCAAACATTCTGTTATGAAATTCGTCCACTGAACAGGTACTGAGTGAATACTGAGTGTTCGTCTCCGGCGTCTTAGTTTATTTCCTGTTCCAATCATTAAGCCCTGTTTTTTTCTGGACATTTTGTCATAAAGACCGGGGTGGAGGATGCGTTCATGGTCAGCAGCAATGTTTTGAGCATCTGTCTGCGTTTTTAGCCTTTGAGCGTTTCGAGCGACCAGGAATGTATAGGTGTCAATCCAGCCTTTCGATGCACCAGCATTCTGAATGTTTTCTGTGTTTTCAGTTTTTAGCGACAGAAAAGCATAAAAACTGATCTTGCCTTCTGACATTTTGAGCGTCACTTCTTTGCGTCCACCAACGTTTTGTGCGACTAGGAAAGCATAAGTATCGATTGTCGCTTGGAACGTCTTGCGTGCATCTTCTTCAATAATGTTAATCAGTCCGAGCAAAAGCAAAAATCCAATAAATTTTCTCGAAAATCGGTATAATTTCGAATTCTGAGTTATTATGTAAAATTCGAATCAGTTTTGACCCTTCCTTACAGGTTTCCTTCTTTAAATGAATAGAAATTATATAGTAATCCTATTGGCTTCTCTTCTCTTGCTCACCAATTCTCATTTCTCTCACTTATTCAGATTAGCGGAAGTATTGAGGTACTATATCCACGATAGAATAACAACAGATCCTGCATGGGCTAAGATTCAAGTGAGATTTAATCGAATGTTTCCACTTTCACTATCCATCATATATTCGACAACGTGGGAACGAGCTATGTTTAGGTCATTCTATCTGACGCCAATGCTCCTGGGGAAGGAGAGCATAAGATCATGGATTTCATTCGTAGACAGCGTTCAAATCCTGCCCACAATCCAGATACGGTGCATTGTCTTTGTGGCGCGGATGCTGATCTCATCATGTTAGGCTTAGCTACCCACGAGGCGAACTTTAACATTATACGGTAATACATTCACTAGTCAAGCTCATTCATTTATGTCTTCGGAATTCTTCTTTCAGTGAGGAGTTTATCCCAAACCAACAACGTCCCTGCGATCTTTGTGGTCAATATGGACACGAGTTGAAAGAGTGCAGAGGGTGAGTCCCTCATTTTTTGTGATTGTAACCAATTCTGTAGGAAGAAAAGATAGATTTCTCCTGTTGTTCCAATTCGTCATGGAAGGACGAAGTCGTAAAGGAAGTGGTTATTTTGTTCATAAAAAATTTGTATGGGAAAGAGTAGCAAATTGTCGTTAGAAATCTGATGTCTGTAGTAAGCTTTTTCAGACTTGAGAACGAAGAGAAAGGCCCCGAGCATGCTGATCCCATTTCAAAAGAGAAAAACTTTATATTTCTGCGTATACCTGTCTTGCGAGAATATTTGGAAAGAGAAATGGCTATGGAAAATCCTTCCCTTCAAATACGACTTTGAACGCGTCATTGATGACTGGGTATGTTTGCGAAGTTCTGTTAGTAGTAATTATTTCGTTCACTTTCTATTTACATAGACATAATTTTCAGGTTTTCCTCTGTTTCTTCGTTGGAAATGACTTTTTACCACATCTCCCTTCCTTAGAAATACGAGAAGGTGCTATAGATCGCCTTATCAAGTTGTACAAGGATATGGTATATAATATGAAAGGGCAAGTTTTGTAACAGCTCAATGAATTGTTTGTATTTTCCATGATGATTTATCTTTAATAGATCAGTACAGTACTACAATGACAATGATAATTATTATCATTCTAGAAGTATTAATTTGTAGGTATTTGACCAAAGACGGGAATGTTTATGTGGACAGAGTTGAGCGAATCATGCTTGTTCTTGGAGAAGTAGAAGATGAAATTTTCAAACGTCGCCAGGTATGTGTAGGTTTAAGTGCCGTAGCCTCTGGTTCGAAATAATCACACACGGGTAGCGGGAGGATAAGATTATGGCGCTGTTCGGCTTGGAGGGGGCATTTTGCACCTTCGCTAGTTTTTTTTGTTAGTTCATCATGAATAACAGGTCTAGTTTTGGTGAAAGTTCTGAATTCATGTGAAACCGCAAAATTGGTGTGAGTGAGCCGATTTCGTAAGAAGAATTTACCGGTCTGTATAAGCTCAGGTGTTTACGATTCGGTGCCTCCATTAAGCCAAATCGCGCCTATCATCGCCAACTATGTTAGGCAGCGTTCATACTTCGCGACAGCAGCGCGATCGCGGCGACCTCATCGACCTCGGCGATCGTCGCGCCCCAACGCTATTATGGACTGCTCGCTTGATAAATAAGGAAATCCAACTTGTGAGACCTTCTTTTCTCTTAATAATGGCTACTAACTGATAACTTACGACTTTCTATACATAAGCGGATCTGGAATATGAGGTAAGGAGGTTTCACTTCTTTTTAGGTCGGGCCAACTCCATTTCCTGGGTGAGCTTCTTTTTGTTTCTTTTGTTTTTATTGTTTCAATTTATGCAAGCGCCTCAAAAGTTCCTATCGTCTGAACTGTTCCAACTTCCAAAACATAGTTTACAAGTCGAGTTCAAACAACGAAGAAAAAAAAGAAACAGAAAGAAACTCCCCTAGCCAAAACACTAATCATTTTACGCAACATCAACAGGTGAAAACTTTATAACCTCATGTATAAGCTCGACGAATGAAAAAAGAAACAATAAAAACCTACCCTAAATGAAGCTCTCACGCTTTTTGCTCATTTCTATCCTGAATCAAGAAAGAAAATAGAAAACAAAAGCCATTAAGTTGGGTTCACCTTTCTTTGTGTCAAACCAAGCTTCAGTATCCTAAGAAAATTGCAGTTAAAGGAAAAAAAGCATGAAATTGAGTCGCTTCTTCCCAAAAGCCTTCGGAGCGCAAGTAATAGCGTTGGGGCGCGCTCTGCCATGTACCGACGATCGTGGTCGCCGAGTATGAACGCTGCTTTAACATTAGGTGGACAATGGAGGGGTTGGGATTCATGTAAGATCTTGGGGAAGTAACAGATACTTGGGGTATTTTTTGAGATATTGCGGGGATACTCTCTATGAGATATCACTTCATTCTTCATACATTATGAAATCCTGCAACATATATTTTCCAGCAAGATGAAGAAAGATTCAAAGCAATCCAAAAGGCTAAGAAAGCACGTCTCAGTGGAGGACGTCCACAGGCACCGTCGTATGTACCGAGGGCTGGTTCACTAATCGCACCGCTTTCAAAGGCCACACCTATGAGTGGAGAAACAACCCGAAATCTAGCTGCTACTGCTCGAAAAGAGGTTGGGATAAGACCATTTTCGCTTCGTAGTCGAATATATGAAGGATTCGCGTTGCAGGCTATGCAGTACGCTGATTCCAAGACGGACAATAGTCCTGGAAGTAGGAAAAGGGCAGCAGAGGTATGAGCTCTTTTGTGAATGATTTTTTCGATTGTTAATCCATTTGACCTTGACTTGACGGCCATAACACTACAAATCGCAACAAAACATCAATCATTACTTTCGCGAAGGAAAGCGAACCAGTTTCGCCAGAAATTGTTCAGTCAACAGAACATTCACTCTTGGCATTTTCCAGGCTCCCTTGGATCTTTCCGATGAGGAACCTAAGGATGAGGTTCGTTTATTCGAGGCTGGTTGGAAAGATCGCTATTACCGGTACGGGTTTTTTTTTCACTAATTTACTTCCATAGTCATAATTGAAATTTTGCAAATTACAGAGCAAAGTTTGACGTAGGAGCGGACGATGTCGACTTTAGAAGGAAAGTGGCATGGGCATATGTCGAAGGTCTCTGCTGGGTGCTCAAGTACTATTACCAGGTGGGTTAAAGCAAGAGACCCTCCTACTCATCGGAGTTGCACAGTTATCTCTTTATTGTAATTTTTAGGGTTGTGCTAGTTGGGACTGGTATTTCCCATATCACTATGCGCCGTTTGCGAGTGATTTTGACACCGTTTCACAGTTCAAACCTGATTTCTCTCGACCTACCAAGCCATTCAAACCCCTAGAGCAACTGATGAGCGTATTCCCCGCGGCAAGCAAGTGGGTTTAATGACCATGGCAGTATGACCTACTCTGAAAGTCTTCCAATATTTTGATTCAGGCAACATCTTCCTTTGCACTGGCAAAAACTAATGACGGACGAGGACTCACCAATTATTGATTTGTATCCAGTAGACTTCCGTATCGATCTTAATGGAAAGAAGTTTGCTTGGCAAGGCGTTGCACTATTGCCTTTTGTTGATGAAGACCGCCTGCTCAAAACACTGGAAACAGTACGTTCTCTTTGAAGTTTTGCTCAGTCTTTTACTTTCTCTTTTTCTTCCTGCTTACCAGAGATCCCTTTGTGCCTTCCGCATCCACTACTTTTGGTGTAGCTCTCGAAAAAATGACTAAAGCAAAGAAGTCTGGGGGTGATACGCGGCGGATTTATACCACTTCATTTCTCGTCTTATGTGTCACCTGTTTTCAAAACCTTAGTTTAGCTTTGTACGGTATTTTTATGAGCGTGACATAGTCGCCCACCGCGTGGCACCCCCAACTTCATTTGGACCCCTTACCTGCGTCGTTCAGGTGCAACACACATTGACCGAGGAAGAGAAAGCTCGTAATACTACCGGTCCTGATCGAATATTTATCGGTAGAAATCACCCGGCTTTCGACTTCTTCAAGGAACTTTACTCTAACAACAACGGAGGTCAGTCATTATCAGTGAACTTACAAGTTTTTGTAGTGTTCCTTGTAGTGTAAGTGTGATGCGTGTCGTAACTGCGTGCTCCTTATCTACAAAGTGAATTGTAGGTGAAAACTCTGTCGACATTGATCCTGCATTTACATATGGTATAAGTGGGAGGATAACTGCCGACAAAACGGCTCTTGCTCCGGATTTGCCGTTTCCCTCTCCCGTCAATGACAAATCATGTCCCGATTTGCCGGTAAGTTCCAGAGCATATTCTTGGTTAAACATTCCATAAAGTAAATAATTGAAATTTGTACCCTAATTTCTTTACGCTACTCAGCATGCTTTAATGGCAACGTTGGAAGTGTTAAATGTTGTGCTAAATTCAGATCCTTTTACAGGTGAACGGAGCATTGATGGTTATTTATCAGGATCCCCAGTATCCTAAAGGATTCATTTTTCCTGCAAGGCGATTGGAGAATGCGAAAGAAATACCTCGTACACTCCGAGATTACGGCAGGGTAAGTTTGAGCGTTTTAAGTTCGGTTTTCTAAGGACGCATTTCTTCGAGCGCCTTGTGAAAGTTAAAAAATGGTCAGCTGGAGTATGTTGAATTGGTGCGCCCGCATCCCTGACGTTATGCGTTACCCTCTGTGGATTCTATCTCGATTTTTCATCGTTTAGTCGGTGACCTTGAGTCCTAAGCATGACTGCAGAAGGAACGATTTTGAGAGGTATAGCGTTACTTCGTAGTTGCGACTTCGTCGTGGTGGTGGTGGTAGTAGTAGTAGTAGTATCTCTTATCCAGTTGAAGTAAAAGGTTGGAAGAGTCAATTGCCGCTTAGTACCCGGGAATGCTCGCGTTACCCTGCTTGCGATTCCTCTTTAGTCGCGTTCGTCGCAACTCAGAGCGATCCTAAAAGGGCCCTATTTCAGTGAATTCGCTCATTTTTATTCTTTTTTGTTGTTTTTTCTTCCCTGCACTTGCGAAACCTTTCACTGCTGAATGAATTTGAGTTGTGCTTTGTCCTTACTGGCTTGCTTTCAGACTGGCTCAGATTATCGTCCACAAATAGGGTTCACCAGAGACGTACCAGGTCGAGCAAGCCTTGATAATTCTGCCCATCGCTTCATTCAGCACAACGCCAGATCTGACAATCGCAGCTATGGTGAGATAGTAATCCTATCAGTAGAGCTATGGTTTTTAGACGGGCATTTGATAGGGTATGTAGAACAATAAAACTATGCTAAAATTATGTGAAAAACGGCTTAATATGGGCTAATGATCAGTGTCGTTGATATTAGTATAGAAAGAAATCCTGGCGGAGTCTGTGTCCACTCGAAATCACAGTATCCACAACTTGTATAATACTTCGACGCTACATCCGGACTGATCTTTAGTCTCTTCAAACCATCTCTGCGTCTTTTTACAATGAAAAATGTTGCTAAAACTTCAATGATCCAGCTCAACCAAACGTTTTTGGCGAGCGTCAACTCTTGGGTAGCGGACTCAGTACTCTAGTGGAATAGAATTCGAAGTGGAGGGATGTTAGGTGTTTAAATGCTAGTAGGTTTTTTTTCTCAGAAGGCGATCGTAACAATGGCGGCGGTCCAGGAAGAGGATACGATGGCGGAAGAGGAGGCTATCAAGGTATGTAGTGCCTAGTTATTCTCATTACCAGTCCTGATAAACTAGACTTTGGAATTTGCAGGTGGTGGCTTCAATCGCGGTGGTTACGGTGGAGGCCAGAATGGAGTGTACGCCAGTGGAGGATATCGTCAAAATTCGTACGGGGGCCAAGATCGCGGTCCTTCCAGGACCAGTGGTGGCTACGGCGGAGGTTACGGTGGCGCACAAGCAAGGGGTTATTCTAATTCGGGGTATGGTAACCAAGCGCCTCGAGGAGGATACAGGGGAGATCTCCCTAGAGGACGAGGTGGCGGATACTCCGGCCCGGGTGGACAGCGTCCACCATGGCGTTAATTTTGGTGTCTGTTGTTATGACAATCACCGTTTTTGTTGGCATTTAGTCTACTTTCTACTTTGTATTGTAATTACATCATCCAGGATGACGATGTGATGCATTCCTATTTATACAATATGTGTACAGGAACCGTAAAGACCTCATTCATTTTGACTATCTCTTTCTCTGCTGCCCCAGCAGATTCTTTCAATAAACACCAAATGTGTACCGTTGCGTGTCGTTGTTGGTTGTTGAAACTTGTTGTTCTTATCCAATGAATATGTAGAACAACTCAGCAACTGGTCATTAAATTCCTCACACTCATGATAACAGCTGTTTAAAGAAAATCTGTACATTCACTTTATAAGACGGTCCTTCACGGTCCTTTTCAAGTGTGAGCTGGAGAGTTACAAGGCAAATGTCAGTCGGATTGCTCTCGCTGTGAGGGTCTAGAGGGTTTTCTCATTGCGTCTCCTATTCGAGCGTTCAGATTAAGGAAAATAGAAAGGAGGGAGAGAAGGAAGGAAGAAAAACAAAGGGAGGAGAAATGCTGCAGTTACAGAGATCCTTGGGCCGGGGTTGAAAAAAAACGGTGGAAGCCACTCGCGATTGGCTTAGGCGCTGTTTATCAGACGGGGGCACTCTGCCTTTCAATAGATTTGCAACGAGCTGGGTTACCCCTTTTTTCGAGTTGACACGTTTTAGTGGTGGCTACACGATCTTGCTCCAGCTTCACAAGCGTTCGCAAGTTTTACAGAGTGAAATTTGTAAACCGGAACCAGGGAAGCAATCATAATACAAAATGCCTCCCACCCTATAAACAGCGCCGCATGTTACGCTAGCCGCTTCCTGCTTGCAAGATGCCGGGACTGTGCTGCGAAAAGAACTGCATGCTCGTGCCATCGTCGCATACGCCCCCGGTGCTGTATCCTCAAGACGCGGCGCTTCGCGTCAATACCAGGTTCGCAGCAAAATGACGCATCACACAGAAGAAACAACCAGAAAGGATAAGGGTGGCAGATAATTAACGCGTTTGAATGTGGCCAGGCGAGGTCCTCATGATTGACTGCGAATTCGCCATATCGTGTGCTGTCCAAGCGGCAGCGCAGGGGGGGGTATTATGGAGACGACACTCGGGTGTCACTGCCCTCCACCCCGTTCCCGTGCACTTTGAGGCGGAGAGTTGCGCTAGGACAGCTGTGAATTCATACATCTCATACATGGCAGATATCAGGATCCACGGAAATGAGTATACAGGGGGCAGGCAAAAAAAACTTTTTCTTTCCTTCGACTTTTCCGTATGGCGCTAGTACAGTTACACTATTGAATTTCTTATCGAGACACTTTCACTAAACCATATCAAAGAGCATATAGTATATCTTATGCAGGGTTACTCGCCCACATGCTTGCGGAGGAGCGCATCTAGAGATTCTGGCACGCGACCGCGATGTGGTGCCTGAGGTCAGCGAGATAGTCGATTTCTCCGCTACCGTAGACCACCCTATTGAACTCCGCCCGAACCGGGTGATTGAAGGAGTTTAAGTCAGGTGACTTGCTTAGATATTCCACCTTCTTCAGCTACTCAGCGCCTTTCCATTCCAAGTAGGCAAGAGGTTTCCCAAGCCCTTTATTCCATGTGTTGCACCGAGCCATCCTGTCGGCAGTAACCAAGTTTCCAAGAAGGTACGGGCGACGACATGTCTAGAGGGCATTCTTCTTTAGTTGCTCGATGTTACCGCCAGCGCTCACCTCCAGTCCTGAGCCCACGAAGAAAATATAGCTCTTCACTCCAGGTACTTCCGTTCCCCACCATCCAATCTGGGTGCCTTGGCGACTGAGGTGAACATGATATCCTGAACCGTAGCGACGTTGTCGGAGTTGCTCGATGTTGGAGGTCTTCCAGATCGAGAGTACTACCCTCCAGGTTATCCATGGGTGACTCCATTCAAAAAGTTTCGCAGCTGTTTTTGGAAATGATGGTGAATCTCCCTAGGGCCTTCTCCAGTCAGCTGCGCTGGACGATGATCTTCAATATTTTTGGCGTACCATTAAGGGGATGGGGCTAGCACCGCTCCTTCTTATAGAGGAACATCTTGGGTATCTTCCGCCCTAGTACTCGTATCCACGTCCTCTGTCTGGGCGCGAAAACTTTGCTGATATGTGACTCGGTCATAGAGATGCCTTTTCCTTGCGCCCCCCTCCCTTAGATGTCTTTAACGCCAGCGTTTGAATGTTGTCACAGGAATTCAGATTTATAGGCGAAACCCTTCACCCTCATGCAAATCAAGCTGGCCCGCTTCCCTTACCTCACCAGTTAACTCCTTCGACTGCAGGTAATTATACTATAGCAAATCGGGGCGCGAAGATACAGTGAATCTGACAAGAGCCTTACAAGTTGGCTCTTAAAGCTGGGCATGCCATCGTTGTAATAATCACAAGGGGCGTCGTGCTTTGACCGCGGAAGGGGTCGTACTTGGTCGGGAAAAACTTTTTTGATAGTTGACTTCCCACCCCCCTGCCCTCCCACCCCCCAGTTGGCGGCACTGCCAAAGATCTATACAACTACTATTTCCGATGGTTGTAAAAGTAGTTGGTTCCTGACGACCTCAACCCCCTTCCCTCTGCTCGACAGCAAACTTCTGGATAAAAAGTGGTGGGAAGTTGGGAAAATCTAGGAAAGTGGTAGGTGGCATGGGAGGTGGGGGGGGGTGTATTTGAGGATGGAATTAGGGGGTCGCATTTTTCAGGAGAATTTATCACAACGCGATGGTGTGCCTTGCCTTCAGGACACGATGAGCTCTCCGGAAGCGATTTGTTGCGTGATGTGGGGATCCATTTATGGACTTCACAGATGAGTTTCATTTTTGCTGAACGCTGCTGAGAATGCAAAAAAAAATTTGAAAAAAAAATCTACAAAAAAGAGCTGTTTTAAACACCTTATGAAGTTCCGCTCTAGTTGTAGCGCTGAGTATGAATAGATTTTGGGGAGTTTTCCAACCAGGCATGGAAAACAATACAGAAAATAAGGTCCGAGGTCCAAATTCTCACTTGGCATGTAGCAAGGTACGGTGAAGTTTCTTCGTGATTCCCGCATGTTTCTCTTAACTCCCGCATCTACTCTATCTCAGTGAGGGAAGGTGTGGTGGGTAGCGCGATGGACTCTCACCCAGAGGTAGTTTGTGGACCAGATCTATTACGTGAGGGCACCTTTTTGTAGTTCTAAGAATATCACACTCTTGTGCTCCTAGTCCTTGATAATGTGGGCTAATGCCGCTTGGACTACAGAAATTTCGGCTCCGAGCTCATTTTAAAAGTGGCAAGATCACCAAATCAAAGTATATAGGGGTAATTCAACATCCTGATCACGAATATGACATTCATTTTTGGCGCTGGCGCTAATGGATGACACTACGGTTACCTGCGCTCTGCTAAGGCTGAGCCCAGGAGGTAATCGTAGTGTCCTCTCTTGGCGCCAGCGCCAAGAATGAGTGTCATACTCGTAATCAGGATGTTGAATTACCCCTATATACAAGTTTTTAGTGGAGGTGGCTTAGGCAATTTGAAAATGAGCTCGGAGCCGATTCTGGAGTCCAAACGGCATTAGCCGATAATGTGTAAACCCTGAATATACGTCATTTAAAGACACATGGTACGCTCAAACACATTGAGGGTGTATGAGACTATCAGCCCCCAGCTGTCGATGTGTCGTGGTCCCCCGCCCAAAACTGCACGGGGTCAGAGTACGGGGCCGTGGGAAAGTCGTAATTCCTTGCTACACCGCCCGTTTCGCAAACTCACGTTTTTACTAACACGCGGCGCGTGTCGCGTGCAGCTCTCTTGGCTTTTTGCCAAGTCCTGTAATTGCGCTTTGGAATACAAGTACAACGCAATTTCTTTATGCGGATAACATTTTAGGTGCTGCAAAATAAGAACCGAAGATGATGACGAGGGCTAGAACTCAAGAGCAACTGTGGTGCTTCTGCAATATCCCTCAGAGGCCGCGCATTCCCACAGAACATGACAATAAAAACGGACAACATGACAATAAAACAAGCAAAACGCAATTTCCTAACATTTGAGGTATTGCTCATGCTTCAAAGTCCGAATAGAAGGTGATGAAGATGACAAAGGCTAGAAATGAAGAACAACGAATGTAGAAATAAAACAAAATTGAAAAAACTAAGGAAACGCAATAAATTAAAATCGCGTGTGCATTTCTGCGATCCGGCTCGAATCCGGCTCTAATGCTATAGAAATACTTCAAACTAACGAGTGGGACGCTTAGGCCGTTTTTATTTTGATGTTTTGTGGGAATGCGCGGCCTGCGAGGGCTGTTGCAGAAGCAGCACAGTTGCTCTTGAGTTCTAGCCCTCGTCATCATCTTCAGTTCTTATTTTGCAGAACCTAAAATGTTATCCGCATAAAGAAATTGCGTTGTACTTGTATTCCAAAGCGCAATTACAGGACTTGGCAAAAAGCCAAGAGAGCTGCACGCGACCGCGCCGCGCGGACGGTGTTAGTAAAAACGTGAGTTTGCAAAAACGGGCGGCGTAGCAAGGAATTACGACTTTCCCACGGTCCCGTACTCTGACCCCGTGCAGTTTTGGGCGGGGGGACCACGACACATCGACAGCTGGGGGCTGATAGTCTCATACACCCTCAATGTGTTTGAGCGTACCATGTGTCTTTAACACATTGCCGCACCGCGTCGATACGCACTTAATGCACGCTTTTGAAGCGCCCCCCTCGTGCGGACCGCGCGTGAATTGTATATACGAATCACGAGCAACAAATCCATATCTTTCACCAGCGCATGGTTTTTTATTTTGTTTCTCATATTCATTCTACAGTTCAGTCCTTACCATTAGTGTTACTTCGGTGTACGCCGGCTGCGTCATGGACAACTTAAGTACTTACCAGCTTTAGCAAAGATTTCCTGTGCAAAGAACACCATTTGCTTGAAGCGGTTTGCTCCTCAACTTCGGATAGGTTTGCTCTTCAACTTTTTACCAACCAATAC